TCCCACCTCTGCCACCAGTTGTCACGGAGTATTGGGGGACTCAGGGCCCTGCACCCCCGGCTTCCTGCGATTCACCATGACTCTCAGCCAGCCAGTAAAGCAGAAGGTTTATTTGGATGACAGGAATACAGTCCAAGACAGGTCTTGCAGGCACAGACAACAGGGCCCGCCTCAGTTAGGTCCAGGTTGGGGTCCCAGGGCATCCCAGCCCACCCCCCTTTGGGGGGTCAGAGCCATCTCTGTCTCCCAGCCATCTCTCCAGCCCGCTTCCAGCACACTGCCTTCAGCGACCCCTCCCACAGCCTTTGTTCAGTTTCCCGGGCCAAGGTGTCACCTGGCCTCCAACACCTTCCTGGGTTCTCATGTTACACGCTCAGGTATGCGCCTTCGGGCAGACTCCCATCCTCCAATGCAGACTATCCTAGCCACACTCCCCTGTCAGCATTCACAGACCACAGTAAGAACAGGCCCAGTTCGTCACACACATGACCACTTTTGTGGCTTCCCTTTGCTTCCCCATCAGAAAGTCAGAAAGCCTGAACAGCTGGCTCTGGGCGATTTGAAAGGGCCCAGGGGCTCCCGCCACCACTACTGGCAGCACAGCGGGGCTAAAGCGGATTCCTGCCCACCCTTGCTCTGCGCGGCGCACCACTGCCAGAAGCATCTTGCATGTCCCTACGGCCCCTGTGGGGTGTGTCTCTTGCATGCTGCCCCTGCCCCAAGCACCAACTCTACCATTGGTACTGCAGCAATGGGGAGCTGCAGGGGTGGTGCCTGCAGGTGGTGGTGCCAGGAGACCCCCCGGCCTCCTCCACATAGGAGTTGCTGCCAGATGGGGGTGTGGGTCACTTTCAGAGCTGCCCGAGATAGGGGCCACACCCCAACCCTCTGCCCCAGCCCAGATCCTGCACCCCACCCACAACCAAACTCCCTCCGAGAGCCCGCCACTGCCCCTCCACACCCCAACCCCCTTCCCAGCCCAGAGCCTGCACCTCATGTACCCAAACTCCCTCCCAGAGCCTTAGGCAGAGGGATGCGGGGGAGGGGCAGGACTTGGACCCGTTCTGGACCTCACCAAAAGTTATATAAACCTGGCGACCCTGAGATGGAGCCCTAGTTATTGCACATCTCTCTCCTTACAGGAGGGGACTCTGTGGGATAGGCTGCTGCTGTGGCTTTATTCCTTCCTTTAATCGCTGTGGAAGGGTAAACAGGGAAAGAATTTGCTCCTGTTTTCTATGTGGAAGAAATAAAGGCAGGCTGAATTATTTCAGGGTTGTAAGTAATAAAACCCAAACTAGCAAAGGATGGTTTTGATCCAGCGACCTCTGGGTTATGGGCCCAGCAGGCGTCCGCTGCGTGGATGGTTTTTTGCAGGAGCTATTCACAGTGCAGCTCACAGGCTGTGTACTGGAGAGTTGTGCCCATGGGATTTAGACGCTTTAGAGGAAGGTGATTGTACATGTTTTGTGTCACATCTCCAACGCTGAACTGAAATGTGGTCGCTGCATTCTCAGCCGGGGTCTCCTTAGTCTAATGATTCAGCAAAACCAGCCCCTCCCCCTGCTTTTCTCCTGGTAAGATCCAGCCAGTCTCCTGCACCCCTCCAGGTTGAGGATTCCCCGATTCCCCGAGTGTCACAAACCCCCTGCGAGGGACCCGGCGGGGCGGGGCAGGGCCAGGCCCGGGTAAAAGCCGCCCCCTCCTGCCCCCGCTCAGCCCGGGAAACCTTTGTTTTTGCAGCGGGGCCATGGCCGGGGCCGGGAGCGCAGCGCTGAGGCTGCTCCAGCCCTGCAGCTGGCGGGGCAGTGCGGTGGGTCCGGGGGCAGCGCGGAGCGGGCAGGGCCCGGGCCGGGGGCGGAGACACGCGTGGGGCGGACACGCTCCTGCCGGGAGGGTCCGGGCCCGGCTGCCTGGTTCGCCCCCTGCCCGGGTGGGTCCCCGAGCCCCCCGCGGCCGGAGTGGGGCTGCCCGGGGCAAGTGTCCCGGCCGGGAGCAGCACGAGGAGCCCGGCTCGGCTGCAGAGCTCGGAGCCCAGGAGCGAGGGAATGGGGGAGGACGGGGGAGATCGGGGGTTGTCAGAGCCGGGCTGTGGGGTGGGAAGAGCGGCTGGTGCTGGGGATGGTGGAGTTGCTTAGAGGTGGGAGTTTAGGGCGAGTCGATTTAGGGGGGTCTTAGAGCTGGGGATTGGGGGATGTTTGGGGGGCTCTATGTTCAGATCTGGCCCTGCGGAAGCTTTGGGGGTTGGAGCTGGGGAAAGTGGGGGACAGTCTGAAGTTGGCTGCTTGGGATGTGGGTGAGGTCCCTGGGAGCTGGGGATTGGGCTGCACCCTGTCACTACAGCCTGCGGTCCTGCATTTTCTCTGGAAAAGCTACTCCCTGTTTCACCATCTTCTCTCAGGTTTCAGAGTAGCAGCCTTGTTAGTCTGTATCCGCAAAAAGAAGAACAGGAGTACTTGTGGCACGTTAGAGACTAACAAATTTATTAGAGCATAAGCTTTCGTGGACTACAGCCCACTTCTTCCACGAAAGCTTATGCTCT